AGCGGTATACACTCGTAGACAAATGAGACGTAAAAGGAGAGCAGGAAAAAGGCAGCACAGCAACATATACATATGCATGTATATAAATATATATATAGCTGAATGCAGAGATTTTTATTATTTACATGCATGCATGTATGTATGGGTAAATGTGTGTGTCTGTGTCTCAGCTGTGTCGGCTCGTCCCGCCCACCTTGCGCCCACTGTCCGGCGCATGCGTCATGGCCCAGTTGCCAGACCTCCAGCCAGCCACTCGATTCATCACATTTGCCTTTGCACATGTCAAAAATCGATGTGCGGTGCATTTGTTGATTAGTCGTTAGCCCACAGCCCACAGACCACAGCCCGCAGCTAGCAGCCAGTCATGTCCGAGCAGGTCAGCTACGAGGAGGAGTGCCAGCGAGCAGAGCTGCTGGGTCTGCAGCCGCCGGACAAGGCTGAATTTGAGCGCAAACGCAGCGCACGGCTCGAACAGCAGCTGGCCGAGCAGGAGGCTGCCGAGGCAGTCGTAAGTATCGTCCAATTAGCATTCGCTTACGGTCCATGCTCCAGCTGGCCCTTTTTGCCCTTTGCAGATGCTCGAGCAGCAGGGCGAGTCGCTGCGCGGCGCCGGCGGCAAGCTGGACGAGCTGAACAGCATCCTGTCCAGCACGCAGCAGCGTCTGAATCGCTTCAAGCAAACGGCCTGCGGCAGTCTGACAAACATATTTACGCGTGGCGGTAGTCTGAGCGGCGCCAGTGGCGCTAGTGCTTCCATGGATGTGCCCGGCTACAGCATGGAGCAGTCAGCCGAGCCGCCGCAGCCGCCCGTGCAAAGGCAGCCCCAGCCCATGGCACCGCCCACAGCAGCAGAGGTGGCCGCTGCCAAGGCGGCCAAGCGCGCCATGATGGACAGCCAGCTGGACAAGCTGGACTCGCTGATCAACAAGGCCGACAACGCGGAGCTGGCCATGAGCGAGCAGACGAAGCAGATGCGACGCATCGCCAAGTGAAGGAAGAGCAAGAAATTTGTTGTTTTTGTTGCCTTTTGGGTTCGGGTAACTTAAAAGAAAAGCATTCGGTTTTATTTAATATACATATAAGTGTGAGTACATATATATATACATACATACATACATATATGCTATATATATCTGAACACATTAGTTGCCCTAAATCACAAAACAATTTAACATAAAGTCGAGATTTTCAATCACAAATGTGCAAAGTTTGTCTTCGCCCTTGATGCATATATACACATAAAACTATATGGTTTATATAATAATGTTAATAATATGTTTGTGTATACATATATAAATATACATACTTATTTATGACTTATACTTAATACTTCTTGCTACATTTTAATCAATTTAAATTAATTCAATAAAATTGCATAATCCAAAAACTAGTTATGAAATTAATTGAGAATGAATGGAACTAAGGCAAACATAACAAAACTCGATTTAAATTATACAGTCAACACTAGTTTAGGCTCCAGCCGGAAGATCTAGCTATATACTCTACACACTCGGATCGGGTGGCGTTGGTGGCGGCGATGGCTGTCGCTGCTGCTGCTTCAGCCAGCGCTTGGCCAGATTCTGCTCGTAGACCATAATGGGCGTTGATTTGCTGAGCAATGGGGAGGTCAGTTCGCTATCCGAGTCCGAGCGCTCGTCATCGCTCTCATCATCCGTCTCATACACGCTGGCGTCCAGGCCCGCATCAGTCTCATAGTCGTCCAGCTCAGTGTTCTGCGGGGGCTGGTTGGGCTTCGCACGCTGCTGGAAGGAGGAGGCAAAGGAGGTAGATGAAGGCTGACAATTGTAATATAAAACAGTAAAACAAGATTCTCGCTTACAGGCTGCTCTTTGGGGCGCTGCTGGTTAAGCCGCTCCTGTGCCTCGGTCTCGTAGAAGAAGTAGCTGAGCAGCAGCTTCTCCTCCTCCGAATTGTAGCGCCAGGCATGCGGGATCAGCGCCGAATTGTAATCGAAGCGAGCCTGCAGCTCGAGGAACATGTGCGGTGAGATGTGCATCTTGGGCACCTCGACCTGTTGCTGCCACTGCGTCAGCACTGGCGCATCCGGCGGGCAGCTGCCGAAGACGCGAAAGTAGAGCTTGCAGGCGCGATAGTGCTGCAGCTGTTCGGTCTCGCTGACTGTGCGCCGCAGCACGGTGAGCTGGGGCTCTAGCACCTGGATGAGCATGTGGTGCTGCTGGCGATCCGGCATGCTGGCCACCAGCACCGCCCGACTGTTGGCCGGCGAGAAGAGTGGCGGCAGCAGCGTCGGCCACAAGGTGCTCAGCAGGCGCAGCATCAGTTGCGTCACGGTCGAGTGCTTGAAGAGCTGGCGAGGCTGAAGCTTTGGCGCTGTGGCATCTGTGGGTTGTGGCAGCCAGCGCAGTGCATCGGCCCAGAGCTTGGCAGCGGCGCCCGCTTGTGTGCTCAGGCCCAGCATCCACATGCAGCGCTTGCAGTACAGATGATCAGCACGATTCATGATGCGATCCTGCAGCACACTCATGTTGAGCACAATGTAATTGAGGCCATAGTAGAGATCTTTGGGGCCGGGCACCAATGTGGCGGCCGGCTTGTCTGCGTGGCCATGATTGTGGCAAAAGAACTCGCTAGGATCGATTAGGCCGCTGGGACACTCGCGCAAGCGATTGTAGCTGCAGCCGGGCACCAATTCGCTCCGACAATTGTTGCAATGCAGCGCCACCAGTTGCTCCGAGTGCTCCTCAAAGCCAAGTAGCAACGGCTGTGCCTTCATTGGGACGGCTATGCTATTCTCCAGTGCCTCCACATCCAGTGTGGTATAGTTGAAGCGAAAGCTAATGTGACAGCCGTTTGCAATGAAAACGGAAATGCGTTGTATGTCCATGCCGAAGGTATCGTGGCGCAGCACCAGTTGACTTCCACCGCTGTTCAGGCCATTCTCGACAATGTGCACGTCGTGCTCCTTGATGATGAGGCGCGTCTTTTTGCGACCGCGAATCTCTTGATCGAACTGCAGGAACACATGGCCGCTGCTCAAATTTGGGCGCAACTCAATGCAAACGGCCTTTAGCGGCATTTTTTGGTAGCAACTTTGTCGGTTGATAACTTTAAACGAGTCAATACAATTAAAAAACCGAATGTGAAATGTTTTGTTTGACGCTGAAGTGCTACTGAAAGTTATCGATATTATTATTTCTATCAAGCGATATATTTATACAGTCCCGATACTGAGTAAACAGCTGCTGAGTTTAAATTTTGTAAATTATTTTAAAGACTTCTTAAAAGTTATTTCAAAATTTGCTAATAATTTATGGCAGGATTGATATAAAGCATTGCTCTCATGTTTAATGTTTAATGTTTAAATTCCCAAATGACTCAATTTGTCTGTAACCAGATTTGTGTTTAATATAATTTTCTATTTCTTTATTTAATTCTTTTTTAATATTGACATAGTAACAAGCCAGCACATTACTAGCCATAATCATACGCATCGTGCTCCACTACATTTTTAGATGGCATACATACATCCGCCTAGAAAGTTTTTAAGTCAATTTCGAGCTCCTAAAAAATAACGGCAACATTCTATGAAATGTCCATGAAAAATCTACTTCAAACCCAATTACAACGTGGACAAAATTAGGTCAAGGGTTGCAACTTGCAACAAGCGCTTGGATCAAACAGCGACAGTAGTGATCAAATCAAAAAATCACAGTATAAAAACTCCCGACATTGCTCAGTAATCTAATCTCAAACATGAGAGCAAATTTACTGGACTAACTGCCTTCTTCATAGAGAAATATAATGATAAATACTAATTTTAAAATGTGGCGCTCATAATCTAATATATCAGTTAGCTTGTGCACGTCTACTAGCGCCCCCATATGATGGTGGTGTTGATGTTATCGATAATCACACATATACATATATGTATAAAATTATATGCACAATTTATATTTTTAAGTTTTTAAACCTTATTCAAAATAAAAATAATTGTAATTACAAATATCATTCTAATAAGCTGTTTTTGCAATAGACAGTTGACAATATATATTATAAATCTATCATACGGCGCCCTCCATCGTTATAATTTGAAGTTGATTTCTGGCCGATATATATTGGTATCGAATTGTTTGGCAAGAGCTGCCGATATTTCGATGTTTTTTTACATCACTAGTACGAACGCGAACGCGATTTTTGTGATGGATAAAAACAAAGTCCCGTATAAATTTATGAAAACTGTGTAAAAATGCAGCAAATGAATCAGAAAATTATTACTAAATTCTGCATTGATTGAGAACTAACAATTTGGAATGCATAATTAGTGTGACAAAGCAAAATTATTTCGAAACGGGCAAACAAAAAGGTTTTTTCAACGTTTTCTTTACGCATTTCATGCACACATACACACGCAAACACAACATGTACACATATATTTGAGCACACATACAGGCATTGATATATGTATATCAATATATTGATGTTGTGCTGTTGTTGTTTATGAAAGTGTGTGTGTGTGCGGGAGCGGTGCATTAGTCTATATATGTATCTATGTGTATGTGTGTGTGCGTTTGTTCAGTGTGTTTCTGTCTGCCTGAACAGGCCAGCGCGAGTACGTGTGTATTTGTGTGATAAAGAGAGAAAGAGTGCGAGCTCGCGCGCAGGTTTCGCGACAGGGCATAAAGCAGGATAAAAGGAGCGAGCAAAGATGAGCAGAAAGAATAAATGTAAAAAATAATTAAAGGTTGCTAAAGGGACGCACAAGACACGGTACAACAGCAACGGCAACGGGGGCAGCAACAGCAACTACAGAGCAGCTGGTCCTGCTGCAGCTAAAACAGCAACAACAACGACCAAATACATACATACATGCATACATATATTTGTATGTATGTACATTTATACGTACGTTTATGCATAAAACTGTGTGACCAACACAATTGGCCATTTTGGCGTTCTCTATTTTGGCAGTCACACACACACACACACACACACAGATACACGAAATACACCAATACACAATCGCAGTCACTGCTCCCCCAGCGACTCTCTCATTCTCTGCTGCTGCTGCTTATGCTTCTTGCTGCTGCTGCTGCTGTGGGGGGTACAAATTCACATAGCCGTGAAAAATAGCATGAAACACAACAACGACAATAAACAATAGGCAGCCGTCGCAGTCGCAACAGCGCAGCGCGTTAAGTTCGTTTGCTTGCGTCTGTTCCATCTAACGCGTCGTCTCAGAGACTTCCATTAAACTTTTGATTTTTTAATTATTTTTGTTGTTTGTTACTTTTGGGCAGCTCCCAGCCTTCGGTCCTGTAACAATCGGTCGCTCGGTCGGTCAGTTAAAAGCTTATGCGTATGCAAGTTGACGCAGTTTACGATAACTGTTTGTCGTGACACGAAGTGCCCGCGCTTGCAACACACAAAATCAAGAAAAAAAGAACAGTAAAAAAAAAAAGAAAAAAAAAAAAACAAACAAACAGATCATAGAATTCTAGTGTTTTAATATTATTAAAATTGTAGTTAAAATTGAAAATTGTTAAATGAAACAGTGGAAAGAATAAAATATAAAGTATAGACACGCGTATGTATGTATATAAATATTCATACACATACATATAATTAAGGAGTCTAGTGAAATTTGTGAAATTACCTTTAACCTGCAATTCATATTTCTCGCTGTTTTGAAATCACGCAACCATCCCTATGAAAACAAAACACAATTCACCAACACCAGCAAGAGAAAAAGAATCAGAGCAAACGTAGCAGGCGACGCTGCACAAATCCATGCGTACACATACACGCGCGCGCATACATACATAAGTATGTATCTGTAAATAAATAGTTTTGAAATAAATTTGAAAGCATTAAGCAGCACTTGACAACAGGAAAATTTGAAAAAATAAATAAAATAAAAAATTACTAAATAATAATAACAAAGAGAAGAACTTTAAATAAGAGTAATCCGCTCAACATTTCGCCATTTACACGAATAAAATTGAGCGTAATTATCCAAATTGCACTTTACAAAGAACTTGCAAATAAGAGAAGGAAAGAGATAGAGGATTGAGTAAAGAGTAGCACCGGAAGAAAGCAAATATCCATCCAAAAGTAACAAACACACACACACAGAGGGAGAGACAGCGAAAGCCCCGGCAGCAGCAGCAGCAGCTGAATAAATAAATCATAAGCTCGCAGAACGCTTAAAGCTCAGCTTCAACCTGGCGAATCGCAACGGCAGCAATAACAACAACAGAGCCGATGCCGCCGCTGGTGGCGCTGCCGCTGTAGCCGCCGCTGGCCGCAACAATAACAATAATGCAGCTGCCGCTGGTGGAGCTGCTGCTGGAGGCGCTGGCGCCGATGCAAATGCGGCCAACGGCGGTGGCGGCGGCAACGAGTGGAATCCCGAGGAAATGGATCGTTTCAGCTTTGACGACTCCATACGCTTCGAAGAGGATTCTCTCTGCAGCTGGAGCTCCGAGGCTGAATCGTTGTGCAACAATTGGCGTGGCTGGAAGAAGCCAACCAATGGCACCACCGGCCCCGGTCTGGGCAATGGTAATGGCAATGGCTTAGGTCCACTTGCGGCCAACAGCAATAGCAATGCAGGGGGCGCATTCGGTGTGGCAGGATGTAGTGCACCTGGCACTGGCAGCAACGGTGGCATCTCCAGCTCTGCCTCCATGGCGGGCGGTGTTCAGTGTGGACGCCAATTTGGTAAGTGAATATCCTTAAAATATCTCTGAGACTACCATTTGATCAATGCTTAACCACATAATATACCAACATATCCCTGCATAAAAATGTATGCGTGTATGTGTGTGTGTGTGTCTCGCATACCGCCAGATCGGTTAATGTGGGAATATAGGCAGCTGTCTAATGAGTACTTTCTTTTTATTGAGGACTTCAACATTATAGCTTAAGCACCACCAATAGCTCAACCTTTCTATAATTTTAAGAAACAAAAACAAATTCAATGTACATCTTATCAGATTATTCAACGCTGGCGTTTGTAACGATCTGGCAACACTGCCAATTACATACGCTCAAATTACACGCATTACATTTTCGATGCATTCACCGAATTCGACGTTAAGTCTATATGTATGTATGTAAATGTAAATGTAAATGTACCTACAAGCATATCTGTAGGTATGTTTGTATGTACGTATGTAAGCATATGTAAAAATTGGCTATAAGTTGCAGCAACAACAACTATTTCTGCCTGCGTCTTCTGCTTATCGCTAAAGTCAAAATCACGACTTTGCTGCTTACATTTTGTTGCCATTGTCCGTTTACCTTGTATTACCTTCTTCTTCTTCTTCTTCTTCTGTCTGTTCCTCTCATCTGCACATCACAACGTTTTTTATGTATGTGTGTGTCTGTATATATGCATTGCTCATTGGCTTTGGTCCGTTTCGTGTCCTGTGCGCCGCCGCACCATTATCAACATACAATCTCAGCAGCGCTGCGACTGCGCTGCCGTTACTTTTCATTGCTCTTTGTTTAGTTGTTGTTGTCGTTGTTGTTGTTGCTGGTGCCTGTGTATGCTAGTTTTTTGTTTTGTTATTGGGGGCCAGGCCATCTTACTAGGTGAGCGAGCACCGGGCAGCTGCATTTTTACGTTAAATGAATGTAAAAATTGGTATGAATGTGCGTGTGTTTTGTGTACCTGCGTTTCTCTGTCTGTCTGGCTTTGAAATAGGTATAAAAAATGAATAATAACCGCAAAAAAGTGACGTTCTGTCTTCTTTCTGCGTTGCGTTGGTAATTTACTTTGGTCGCCGTTTGTGTCAAGGAACCTTTTCAAGGATAATGGCCAAATAAATGTGTACGAGTTTACCGTATGATACATATTCTCTATATACATTCATGTATTTATATATAGAATATTTATGTATATCCATACATCCACCTGCCTTGATAAAACTTGTAATATATACAAGGATCGATGTCAATGGCATTAAATGGCATAAAAAACTATCGATGACACTACAACCCTGTGTATATTCCTATGTATTTGTATGTGCTATGTGAAGATTGTTGCCACATGTCATCTAATTAGTCTCGTGATGCTTTTTTGTTTATTTTTTGTCTTTTTTTTTTTTTTAAATTTGCTGACAAAGTAAAGGCAGCAAAAGACATACGAGAACAGTTTTATTTGTATTTGTGCTATTTGTTGGCATATCAGTTTTCATGCACTTCCGGAACCGCGAGCGAGCGACACACATACGTATGTGCGTAAGTGTGTATGCACATGTGTAAGTGCACATGTATTATGCACAATTTTGACCTCTTTTTTGGTGGGGACAACACTGACGACAATAACACATATCTGAACTCAATTGTTGTTGCTGTTGTTACTGTTGCTCTTACCCTTGCCTGCCTGCGCTTCGATACACACACACTCACCAGATGTCAGCAAATGGAATGCGAATAAAGAAGGAATAGGAGGAGGCATGAATAATAACTCTTGACGCTTGCGGAAAATGACTTTGAATAAAATGGTGCCAGAGTGTCTGAAATTAAGCGACAGCGAGCGAACGAGCGAAAGAATGAAAACAAACAAACGATGCGCTGGCCGATGCTTGTGTGTGAGTGAGCGGGTGACTGAGTAAGCGTATGATTGTATGTCCGTGCGTGTGTAATGAATGCCAACCGACAAAAACGTACAAAATCGATATCGATAATGGGGAACGAGCAGTAAAGCTTAAAAACGTAACACATTAGCAAAGACCCTTCAAGATAGTGAAAGCGAAACAGGTTTCCATTAAAATGTTGAAGACAGCTGTTTATATGTACATATATACATATACATATATAAATATATTCATATATGTATGYATGCAGCTCTTAGAAGATGAACACATGACTATGTGGTGTGTGTGTGTGTGTGTGGGCGAACTTGAACCTTGTTTTCTTGTCGGGTGCGCGCGACCAATGTTTTTGTTGTTKTTGTTATTGCTGCGTCAGTTTCTCGTGTTAAAAGCAGCAATACGACACAAAAATATAAACTCAACTCTTTTATTGTTTCTCTGCTTCTTTGTTTTGCGCTCTACAGCGGATGGACACGACCTTTATATATGTATGTGTATGTATGTATGTGTGTGTGTCTATGTATGCATGTTGTTATTGTTAATGTGTTGGCTGTTTGTTCATTTGTTTATTTGCATGACAATTTGTAGAATTTTGTTTATCTACAAGTCAATTGCGCTGCACGCACAGACAATACATATGTATGTGTATACAGACATGTATATGTATGTATGTATATAGTGATGTGTGTGTGTAGCATGCAACCAAAATTGAATTCAACTTTTTCATCATCTAAAACGCCATTGACCTCTGCAGTGACTGACTTGCTTCTTCTTCTTCGTCTTCTGCTTACTTGGTCATTGCTCGAGTCGTCTCGGATAGCTTTTGATTTATGCTTTATTTGTGTGCGTGCGTGCGTGCGTGCGCGTGTGTGTACGTGCCTGTCTGTGTGTATATATATATGTATGTATGTATGTGTGTTAAGCATTCCTTGTATTACAAACAAAAATCGAATCGGCTCCCTCTAAGGGCTTCCCCCTTAGAGACCACTTGAAGAGCTACGGGCAATTGGTTATATTGAAATCAAAACTCTACAATATTATTAATCCATTTTTATTGATTTTTTTCTTTTTATTATTTACAGATGTCTCCTCGCTGACCGAGCTTGCAGCACGCTGTGTTGCCTCGTATATACCATTCGAGCTGGTCGAGCATGTCTATCCACCCGTGCCGGAGCAGCTGCAGCTGCGCATTGCATTCTGGAGCTTCCCGGACAACGAGGAGGACATACGATTGTACTCGTGTCTGGCCAACAGTTCGGCGGAGGAGTTCCATCGTGGCGATCAGCTGTTTCGCATGCGCGCCGTTAAGGATCCGCTACAGATAGGTAAGTCTCAAGAGATCTACATAGTATATGTACATATGTATGTCTGTTGCATATCAAGATCTGATAATCATCGGTCCACACTCATCTTGCAGGTTTTCATCTGTCTGCCAGCGTTGTGAGCCAAACGCCGCGCACCTTCTTCAATGTGGCCGTCACATTCGATCGCCGGCGGATCTCCTCGTGCAACTGCACCTGCACCTCCTCGGCGTACTGGTGCTCCCATGTGGTGGCCGTTTGCCTGCACCGCATCCATTGTGTATGTGTGCCATGTCACGACTCGCATTTCTCACCATTTCACACTCTAACCCTGTCTCTTTCCTTTTCATGCCGTGCAGCCCCTGGAGGTGTGCTTGCGTGCACCTGTGTCCGAGTCGCTGACTCGCCTGCAGCGCGATCAATTGCAAAAGTTCGCCCAGTATCTGATCAGTGAGTTGCCGCAGCAGATATTGCCCACAGCGCAGCGTCTGCTCGACGAGCTGCTCAGCGCCCAGCCCACGGCAATCAATACAGTGTGCGGTGCACCAGATCCCACGGCGGGCGCCTCAATAAATGATCAGACCAGCTGGTATCTAGACGAGAAGACGCTCCACAACAATATCAAGCGAATACTCATCAAATTCATATTGCCGGCGCCAATTGTTTTCAGGTAAGCCGTCTCTACTCGAGATCTCCAGCTCATCCTTATGCTCATCATTTTCGTCCTTGCAGCGATGTCAACTACTTGACCAATTCGGCACCACCGGCGGCCGCTGAATGGAGCTCGCTGCTGCGTCCGTTGCGTGGACGCGAGCCGGAGGGCATGTGGAATCTCTTGTCCATAGTGCGCGAGATGTATAGACGCTGCGATCGGAATGCCGTGCGTCTGCTGGAGATCATAACGGAGGAGTGCATGGCCTGCGATCAGATGCTAATATGGTGGTTCCAGACCAAGCTGGCGCTCATGATGGGCTCCCATGGCCACAGCGGTGGCAAGCACTCCAACACGCACTCCAACTCCACAGCACTGCAGCACGCGTGCAGCTCGCTCTGCGATGAAATTGTCGCCCTGTGGCGTCTGGCTGCACTGAATCCGGGACTGGCGCCCGACGAGCGCGACATGCTGCACGCCCAGTTCACGGCCTGGCATCTGAAGATACTCGATCGTGTGGTGAAGAGTCGCATGATGCCGCCATCGTACACGAACAAACACCAGCAGAACTCCAGATCCGAAACGGAGCTCTTCATTGGCTTCAAGCCGGCCATTGAGGCATGCTATTTGGACTGGGAGGACTATCCGATAGCGGGCGTCACCCACACCCACGACACCAATCCCATTTACTATTCACCGTTCACATGCTTCAAGCACACGGATGCCAAGGGCGATGCCTGCGGCACCAGCACCACCAGCCAGCTGAACGCCACCCAGGCGCTGATGAGCAACAACAAGCACTACAATTACTTTAGCACCTCCAACGATCATGGCATGCATGCGGGCGCCTTCAAGCAGCGTGCGGAGCGCAGCGCGTATCGTGAACGCTTCGATGCCAGCGCTGCTGAGCTGTTCGGCTCGCCTAATGAGCCGCCGTCCATAAACGATGTCCTGATGCTGGCCCAAGTGAATGCCGCCTGCAGCATGGGCGTCGATCGTGATGCCATTGGACTGGGCGCCGGCTCACAGCAGCAGCAGCAGCAGCAACAACAACAACAGCAGCAGCAACAACAACAGCAGCAACAACAGCAACAGCAACATCAGCTCGCAGGCGCCGTTGGGACATCCAAGTCGAATGCGTCGGGCTCTGGGGCAGGTGGCGTTGGCGTTGGCGGTGGCGGTGGTGGCGATGGCAATCGTTCGAGTGCCAGCAGCGAGGGATTCTGTGAGAACGAAGATTTCGGTGGCGATAACAGCAGCAGTCTGAACTATTGCACGGAACGTGCGACGACCGGCGTGTCCGGGCAGAAATCGCTAACCGAGTCGGATTCGCAAAGCAGCTTCGATGCCGTCTCGCAGCAGAGCAAGGATTTGCCCATGTCTGTTGCTGCGGGCGTGGCAGGCGCYGGCAATGTTGTTGTTGTGGGGCCGGGCACACCCGACTATAGACAGCAGGCGGGCGGCTCCACGTCGGACACCTCGTCGGCATCGTCGGCTTCGTCATCGGCATCCACGGGATCGGGCAGCAGCAACAGCTCCAGCTCATCCATGCTGAAAACAGCTGCAACGGCTCAGCAGCAACAGCAGCAGCAGCAGCAGGTGTCACGACGCCTGTCCAAGGATGAATCATTTAGCAGCAGCAGCGATGAGTTCATCCCAGTTGTGGGTGCGCCCATTGCAGCGGCAGGAGCAGCATCGGCAGCTGCAGCTGGCGGTGATTTGACGCCAGTGCCCAGCACTTCAGCCGCAGCACGCGCTGCATTGGCAGCAGCAACAATTGCACAGCAAAGTGAGCAAACAACGGCCGCAGCAGGAGCAGGAGCAGCAGCAGCAGCAGCTGGAACAGGAGCAGGAGCAGCAACGCCTGTGCCAACAGGAGCAGCAACAGCAACACCAACAGCTGCTGCTGCTGGCTCTGGTGCTGCTGCTGGAACCACGGCAGCAGCCATGGAGCAGCCCTGCTGCAGCAACAGCAACAGCAACGCCGGCGCCGGCGCCAGCAGCAGCAGTGGAACACGCGGCGCCATGGCTGGCGATAATAAGCAGCCGCACATCTTCTCGAATGTACGCCCCTCGGAGGACGCGTGGGACATATTGTTGGCTCGGGCGGAGGGCTTGCACGCCCATGGGCATGGTCGTGAGGCGTGCATCTTGGCCGTGCGCCTGGCCGAACAGATGCTGGCCAATCCGCCCAATCTGCTGATGGAGCTGCCGCCGGCGCCCAAGCGCAAGGGCAAGAAACAGAACGTGAATCCCATATCGCATCAGTTGACAGTGGTGGCCTCGTCGACGCTCTCCAAGTGCGCCTTCCTGTGCACGGTGCTCTCCGAGAACTCGGAGCACTATCACATCGGCTTTCGCATCTGTTTGTTTGCCCTGGAGATGCCCCGACCGCCGGCCAGCACCAAGCCGCTCGAGGTGAAGCTGGCCAACCAGGAGGCGGACATATTGGCGCTGCTGAAGCGCCTGCCCCTGGGCGCGGCCGAGCTGCAGGTGATCCGCGAACGGGCCGAGCAGCTGCGCAGCGGCACCTTCAAGTCGCGCGGCGAGGCCCTGCTGCCCATCAACCTGGCCACGTTCATCTTTGATGCACTGGTCACGCCCGGCGCGCCCAAACTGCCAATCGGTTACGGCGTGTCCAGCGACCCGACGCGGCGCCCCAGCACGTCGACAACGCTGTACAAGCTGAGCGAGGAGAACATGGGCTTCGAAGCCGCCGTGGCAGCATTGGGCCTGAAGGCCAACGTCTCCGAGGCAGAGCATCCGCTGCTCTGCGAGGGCACGCGACGGCAGCGCGGCGATTTGGCGCTGACGCTGCTCTACCACTACAAGGATGAGCCGCGCAAGATAGCCAAGATCATGGAGAAGCTGCTGGACCGGGACATACACACGCTGCTGAAGACGCCGCTGCTGCCCTCCTACTACTCCAACCATCCGCCGGTGCGCACGCCCAGCCAGCAGCCGATGCGGCGGGATCACGATCACGACTATGGTGCCAGCGCGGCAATGGGTGCTGGCGGTGGTGGGGGAGGCAGTGGCGGCGGAGGCGGTGGTGGCAATGGCGGTGGCGGTGGCGGTGGTGCGGCCGCTGCTGCTGCCTTCAACCTGTGCGAGCTGCTGCCCAACGACTATGGCAGTGTGGGCGGCAACAGTCGGCCCCACAGCTCGACCAGCGCCGAGCTGGAGCTGAGCATGTGCGCCCTGAGCATGGCCAGCAGCAGCAATCAGTCGTGCAGCAGCAACAACAACGGCCAGGGACAGGGACAGGGTCAGGGTCTGGTGGCCTGCCAGAGCGGCGGCAATGGCGGTGGCAGCGCCAGCAATCCAGCTGGCGGAGCAGGTGCAGCTGCTGGAGCTGCTGCAGTTGGCCAGAACAATGGCAATGGCAGCGGTAACGGCAATGGCAACGGCAACTCGGCCAGCGGCAGCAACAGCAATCCGAACAATGCGAGCAGCAGCAGCCGGAGCAAGGAGAGCCGCTACAAGGGCAAGCGCGCCTATCCCTCGATACCGAATCAGCCGTCGGAGGCGAGCGCCCACTTCATGTTCGAGCTGGCCAAGAATGTGCTGACCAAGGCCGGCGGCAACAGCTCAACGTCGCTGTTCACCCAGGCCAGCACCAGCCAGAATCACCATGGACCGCACCGGGCGCTGCACATGTGCGCCTTCCAGCTGGGCCTCTATGCGCTCGGCCTGCACAATTGCGTCAGTCCGAATTGGCTGTCGCGCACGTACTCGTCGCACGTGTCCTGGATACTGGGCCAGGCCATGGAGATTGGTGCGCCGGCGATTAGTTTTCTGATTGACACATGGGAGGCGCATCTGACGCCGCCGGAGGCAGCCGGCATGGCGGATCGTGCGTCGCGCGGCTGGGACAACAACATGGTCTATCCGGCCGCCGAGCTGGCCCTCTCCGTGCTGCCCCATGCGGCCGCCCTCAATCCCAATGAGATACAGCGCGCGATACTGCAGTGCAAGGAGCAGAGCGATCTGATGCTGGAGCGTGCCTGCCTCACCGTCGAGACGGCGGCCAAGGGCGGCGGCGTCTACCCGGAGGTGCTCTTCCAGGTGGCGCGCTACTGGTACGAGCTCTACACGCGCAACTCGCCCAACAACAGTGGCGGGGATCACGAGCAGCACGAGGATCAGCTGGAGCACTCGGCGGTCAATCTGAGCGCGCTCATCGAGTCGCAGCAGCAGCACGAGCTGCAGCAGCAGCAGCAACAGTTGCAGCAGCAGCAGCAACAACAACAGCAGCAGCAACAACAGCAGCAGCAGCAGCTTATGAACGCCGCTGCTGGTGGAGCCGGTGGCCCGTTGGCGGGTCCGCCTGTGGTTAATGCGGCGCCGCAGCAATTCCAGCCGAACGTGGCCGCCTTGACGCCCATCAATCTGGCGCCGTACGGGCCGTACACGTTCTGCCAGAGCATCTATGCGCATCATCACAATCTCAGCTATCCGCCCGGCCAGATGCAGATGTACATTTCGGCTGGTCCGCCACCGCCGCCGCAGCCGCTCTATGCGAGCTACTCGCAGCAGCAGCAGCAGCCGCCGCCGCCGCAGGGCGCACAGCAGCAACAGCAACAGCAGCAGCAGCATGTGCAGCAGCAACAACAGCAGCAGCAACAGTCGTTGGTGGCGACGTCGGGTGTGGTGCATGCAGCACCGCCCGGTCACCAGCCACCGCCAGCGTTCCAGGCGCCACCACCGGGCGCCTTTCAGCCAATGCCGCCGCAGGCATACCAAGCACTGCAGGGAGGTCCGCCCGGACCGCCCATGGGTCCAATGGCGCCCACCTATTACGGGCCACCGCCGCCGCCGCCACCAAACGGCCCGCCTGGCGCCGGTGTTGGCGTACCCATGCGCCAGCATCCTGCCCAGCATCCAGCACAGCATCCGGCAGGGCATCCAGCACAGCATCCATCACAGCATCCCGTGTATCCGTTCATGCAGCAACAGCCGCCACCACCGCCGCCGCAGCATCAGCAGCAGCAGCCGCCGCCGCCAACACAGCCGCCAGTGCGTCAGCGTCAACAGCATCAGTTCACGTAAGTAGATCATATATATATATTGCGAGAGAGAGAGAGGCAGATCTATATATATCTTATGTAATCTCTCCCTGCCTTCAATAGATCCACGCAGCTGCGCTACCTGCTGGCCGCCTACAATGTGGGCATGCTGGCCATGGAGACACTGGCGCGACGCGTCCACGACGACCGGCCGCAGGCAAAGTATGCAAGGAATCCGCCGTACGGCGAGGACGTGAAGTGGCTGCTGCGCATCAGCAAGAAGCTGGGCACGCAGTATCTGCATCAGTTCTGCGTCTGTGCGGTCAACTCGATCGTGAGTCCCTTTGTGCTGCACGACGTGGCCATCGAGTCGGCCCATTATCTGGGCCGGAATAATCATCAGTTGGTCATGCAGCATCTGCGCTCGGCCCTGACGCCCCTCGTGCAGAAATGCCAGCAAATGTGAGTAGCGTATGGAGTGGCAGCATATTGATTGATTGACTCTTTCATCTTCTTCCTCTCTCTCTATCTCTCTCTCTCTCTCTCTCTCTGGCATCCAGGTACATCCAGTGCATCCACCAGAAGCTGTATCATCTCACCCAAGGCGACTACGAGGAGTTTGCCAGCATTGTGGTTGCCGCGCGTGCGGCCTTCCAGATAACCCCCGAGGGCAATGCCCAGTTCAAGGATTGGCTGCAGTCGATCAAGCGGTCAGTTTTGCTCATGGGCAAACTAAAATTCATTCATATAGCTCTGCTATCTTCATATGTACATCTCAATTCTAAAAAGTAACCTAAATATCTCAGCGTTATGGACAAAGTATTTGTCGCGAATGGCTATCGGCCCCATGGCCTGATGCCCTGGCAGTACGACGATCCCGACGGGGTGCTTTTCATATGCGAGAGCCTGTACACGAGCCCCAATAGCACCACCAACAGTCACAAGACCTGGAAGAGAAACTTGAGCTTGGCGTTTCGTCGGGCGTTCCGTCGTACGCACCTGACCATAGAGAGTCTATGTAGAAGTGAAAACAGTGCGGACGAAGCAGCAGATTCAGAAATCAAGAATGAAGAAACTAACTAGAAAATTTGTCATCTATCACGTTTTTTTTTTTTTGCAATTTTTTTTTTTCGTTTCGTTTTTTTTTTTTTGAATCATGTTTTTTAAGTCCCCAATATTTTGTAATTTTATATACATTATATAAAGCCAAATGTACTTTTCATTATTCCTGTTTATTTGGCGTAATATCTGTAATTAAGATGCGAGTGCCTTAACTTTTATCATTGTAGTTGTGTATCTATATATGTAATAGGTCATATACACTATATACACATTTGTATTAATTTAATATGTAGTATGGATACGCTCGATGTGAAGATATTCTAGTCAAGACCTTCAAGTTGAAGCTGAACTAATCTTAATTATTAATATATGATATGATATATGATAAGAGAGCTAACATACGAACGAGCATAGGCATAGATCATGTAGATCTCTGAGCAAGAGAATGTACTATATTTAAAGAAAAAATCGATAACATGAAGTAGATTTTTCTGTAGGTCTCCGTTATATTATCAATGAATCGATAACATTAACTCTTTAATATCGTTGAGCTGAGAGGATGAAATTTCAGGAATTAAAGAATTCATTAAGCAGACTAGGGAATATACATATTGATATAGTAAGGAACGATCTATTGATACTCGATATAAGGTATAAGATATAGGAAATCTAGAATCTAGAATCTAGCTATATAGAAATCAATTAATTAGACAATCAGAATTTCCTGCTATAAGTCGATAGCATTCCCTTACAACTATGTATGATCGATTAATATTTGTTATTAACTATGCCGCATTCACAATTGAAATGAAATCATTTCTGACCCATTGCAGATCGAAGTCGTGCAAGAAGGAGCTGTGGACACAGATCAATGCGGCGCTACAAAGCAATTCCAAATGACAAAGACTTGACTCCTGCAATCTGATGACGGCAACGGTTGCGGCTGCAGCGGCTGCTGCTGCTGCTGCTGTTGCGACAACAGCAACAACAATTGCCAGCAGCGGCAGCAGCAGCAGCGACACAGTGCTGGCCTCGTCGCCGCCAATGTCGCTGGTGAAGGCAACGGCCGCTGGCAGCTCAGGCAGCAGCAATATTATCAACAGCAGCGTCGGCCACATCGCCAGCAGTGCTGGCAGCATCAGCAGCCACGGGCACGGCCACGGCCACAGCCACAGCCATAGCCACAGTCATAGCCACAGCCATAGCCACAACCACAACCATAGCCACAACCACAGTCACAGCAACAACAACAGCAGTAGCAGCAGCAGCAGCAGCAACAACAGCAACAGCAACAGCAATGGCAACGGTAGTGGCAGTGGCAATGGCAATGGCAATGGCAACAGCAACAACGATCAGACAACAGCGCAGGCGCACCATCATCATCACCATCATCATCATCGACATCATCATTTGCTGGAGACGCCGACAAGCAATACAGCCGTTGCTGCTGCAGCAGTGGCGGCGGCAGCAGCAGCCGCAGCAGCAGCTGCTGCAGCTGGAACAGCAACAACATCCGCATCAACAACGGCTCAAGTGTACGAGCGCCTATGCCGTCCCAGCCACGTGGTAATGGAACAACAGCAGCAGCATCAGCATCAGCCACAACAACAACAACAACAACACCAACAGCAGCAACAGCAACAACAACACCAACAGCAACAACAGCAGCAGCAGCAGCAACAACAACAGCAACAACAACGAGTTGTCCAACTGCCGCCAGTGGGGCAGCAACGTTCCGTGGTGACGGGGCAGGTGCCACCGCTGCCAGGTGCGGCAGGAGCGTTGCCATTGCCTTCGCACGGCTATCCAACAATGCCCGCTGGCTATTATCAGGCGCAGGGCACAGGGCGTTCGCTGCTGCATCCGCATCCGCATCATGCGCACCCGCCGCACGCGCATCCACATGCCCACACGCATCCAACGACACATCCCCACGTGCATCCGCATGTGGGCTATCATCATGTGCAGTCGGTGAGCCCATTCCATCAGCATCTTTAACAACGTATCGCAGGCGCTGCCCGCGGCTGCTCTACAGGTGGCGCGTCTCATGCTGCAGCTGCATCCACGCATCAAGCCAATGGAGCACCAGCAGCCCCAACAGCTGCCAACATCAGATGCTGCTGCCACATTGGCTCTGCAGCTGCATCGGCCGGGTCGTCTGCAACGCTGCCTTGAGCAGCGCACCACGCTGCTAGTGGCGCTGCTGCTGCTGGCACTACTTCTGGCCATTGGTCTGCCGCTGCTGCTGCTGCTGCTGCTGCGCTAGCAGCCATTCGACTAGGCTAATGCAGTGTGATCTCAGCGCTGCGCCACGTTTACACACACACATACACACACCACCGCACTTAGTTCATGTTATAGGTTATCTATTGCTCTATATATAACATAT